CCGGTGTAGATTCGCCTTGACAGAAGCCCGCTTTTCGAAAGCAGTTTGCTATGGCGCTAGGACTTACCTGTAGAAAGGTAAACGCGAGGAGCTGTGCACTAGAATTTGAAGAAAAAAAAGTTTTCGACTGACGTCATTCCGTGCTGTGACGAGATGGTGCACGATCAAGCACGTTCCATTTCGGCAATCCATGCTCTTTGACATGGTCCATTCCCTTTGCACGTAAGTGTCACAGAAGAGAACGAATGAGTCGTTCCCGATACTTCCGCTTCAATGCCGCAATCTTGGTCTAGGGGTTGTAAGAGTCTCATTCTTGCATTTGTTGATTTCATCAGGCACGCTTCCGGCTTCCCCAGAAACCGTCTTGAACACGATCGTGTTCGAAGCGAGAGGGGCAACCAGAGAACCACTCGAAGTTGTCGATCCCCAATACCTTCGCCAGTTCTGCGGCTTTCTGCCGAATTGCGCTCCCATCAAGGGCGATGGTGCAGGCACGTGCCTGTTGGAACCACTCAAATAATATTATTCAATGTCACCTTATTTTGCACCTCTCGACTTCTTTCTTCCCGGAGCAAAGCTTGTATTGAATAATTTTTTCTTAAGCACAGACGATGGAAGACGATGATGGGATGTCGTTCCTTGCGGAAACCTCGCCCTCCTTCAGTTTCCCTTCCTCAATTTCTCCCAGAATGTCTATTTTCAGTTGAATAGACATGCACTTCCTCTTCTCACTTCTTGGCTAGATGTGCCATTTTACTGCCGCTGATACAGTGAACACGTGAACTTTGACCACAAATCCGTGAAAACTCTGACGAACAAGCGAACAAAGTTCGGAATGCAGAATGACCCAGTAAGACTATGACCCAATTTATAGTTTACGGGGCCAAGAATGCTGTGGGGGGGGGGGGGGGGTCTTTTCAACGCGACAGGCCAATCCCTGTGGGACAGGTGGGGGTGATAACTAATAATTGAGGGACAGATACAGATGCAGGATTAAGATAAGAACTTGAACCCCTCGTTCCCAGGGGAAACAAAAAGAGAAGGAAAAAGGCATTTTAAAAAATAATCTATCATGTGCCGCTACGGAAAGTTCGTTATATCTGATGTCCCTTCTTAATGGGAACACAAGAAATCTTTCGATATATCCGAAATTCTCCTATAACCGATTTAGTTTTGTCCAAATTCTTTTAAATGGGTGTCTATGGACATTAGACCGGGCAACGGCTAGGATTTCGTTATAACCGGGTTTTCGCTATATCAGTGTTCGTTATAACGGGAGTCGACTGTATTTGGAAAGACTTCTCACCCAAAAACTGTGCCCTGAGGGGATGCACCACAAAAATTGAATTTTTCCTGAACTCAACACCGCATCAGTTATGTAGTAAGTCAAGTTTCACCTTTCCGTTTCTGCCTGGTTCGCTAGGGGAATTTTTTTTTTTTAAAACGTCACCCCCAAAACATACGCGCGTAGAAGTATTGGAAACTTGACATTTTTCCTGAACTGTGTGTCAGTAGTCACGTTCATGCCAAGTTTCAGCTCACCATGTCTCTCCATTTGATCGAAGGGAAAAAAATTATTTGAAAACATTTCCCCCTGAAAGGTATGCCCCAGGGCATGTACGTCCAAAATAGGATTTATTCTTGACTCAGCATCCTAATAGCTTCTTATGCACCAATTTCACCTTTCTACCAGGTCTAGAACATGGCTAGAATCAGCATCAGTCACGATCGTCTGCGTACAGATGCAAAGGATTAGATGCAAATCTACAGCTACTTGTTTTCTTTCACGGTTCCTTGAGGAGATGAAAATGTGTGAGAGTTGTATTAGCCTAAGCGTCCATCCGTCGGTTAGGCCTAGGCTAGTGAAATGAGTCCCCTTAGAACTTGGCCCCAGGGCTTTTGTCCTAAAGTAGGAGTTTTTCCTTAACCAGCATCTCAACAAGCTATCTGTGTTCCCGTTTCCTTGAAGTTAGTATAGGAGAGGTGTAAGCTTAGCATCCACCTGTGGGTCAGGCCGTAATCGATCCCCCCCCCCTTCCCCCGAAATTTGCATCCAGGGCATGTAACTCTCAAGTTTGACTGTTTCAACTCTGCAACCGAGCAGCTATTCACATTCCTTCTAGTTTCGTGGAAGGTTTGTATGAGAATGACACGCCCAAGGGGGTCCGCAACAAAAGATCTAATCATGTATATTCCAATAGTCAAAACGTCTACAGTATAATCGGTTCACAAGAAGAAGGTCCAGGAGTCCAGATCGGCCGAAGGTCAGAAGGAGCAATTGCAAAAAAGTCCAAAGTTTATTTTCCGTCCCTCTGCGAGAGAAGTTCCTCCTGATAGCTGTCAAAATTGCACATCGTGGGCGATTCCACGGAGATACTGCATCGATACGTGGTTACTATAATTTTGTACTATTGACTTGATTCTGATGTATTTTTGAATATCTATTCCGCGTCTCTTCCGTGGAGGATACCCTGCCACTCCTCCATCTAGTTCCCTCTCGGTGTTGGCTTCTTTCTGCAATTCCCGAAGCAAAAGAAACACGCTGGGATGCGACTCCTCCATGAGGAAATTAAGCCTCCCATGCCAACCTTCGAGACCATTGGTCGTTGTTGGTTCATGACGAAGTACCCTGCTCCGGACATTCCATAACCTGGAAACACTGGACCTTGCTGTGGTCGTCCTCTGACCCTTCTCCCGTCGATTTAGTATTCCCTGAAGTAAACTGTCGTTGGAGAAGCTCCCATGTGTTGCTTTAGTGGTAGGAAGGCATCGCAAACGTCCTGATCTGGATCAAATGCCTAACGTGCGGCATGAGCACAAATAATAAAAAGTCTCGGTTCTCGGGAAACATCTGCACTTGTCCCTCACATCAAATGTGTCTCCAAAGATGTTGGCACAGGAGGAAACAACCCTCATGTACAACATTGGGAAGGAATTGACGCTGTGCGTCATAGCCACTTTCAAAGTCAGAGGTGAAGTACTTGATGTTAGGCTGCAATCACATCCTGACAGTGCAGAAGAAATTGACATCACCAATTCACTACAACGTCAGAAGGTGGTGTTTTCTTTTTTCCTCGCAGCCGTATATAAATACCCACTGTGGCAGAGAAGTTGGGCTCCTTTCTGTGTCTTAGAAATTATGATGTTCTCCATGGTAATATCTTAGACATGATGCCGTCGGGGCGCTCGGTAAAAACGTAGGATCGAGGACTGAATGCAGAGCTTTGGCTGTTCCGTTTCCCTGCGTTGATTCGATAACATCGTCTGTTCGAGTTCCTGTTTTTTTCTCTCTTCGATGCCGTCGGCAATGCTATACATTTCTTCCTGCTTGGATCAGTTTTCGCGCAGACGAACCTTGGAACATTTAAAGAAGTGGTATTTAGACCAAGTGTCCTTTCTCCCTCTCGCCCATTGTACCTTAACACTTTGCGTGCCACTCATGGAGATCTCCTTTTGCCTAGCCTATGGCCGAAAAAGTCATAGCCTTGTAGGCATCGAGCTTTAGCCTAAGGTAACTGAGGCTTAGGTCAGAGCGGCAGATCGACGGGGTAAACTGTCCGGTACGCAATGTGCTAATAACATTCGATCACCCAGACGCCCATTAGTCTTTAAACAATATAACGCGCATCCGTCCAGGTGTCCTCCGTGGGTCAAGCCTATCCTAACAAAATCCTTTCAAAATGTGTTCCAAGGGCATGTACCTCCAAATTCGGAATTTTTCTGAAGTCAGCAATCAGAGAGCTTTTAGTGTATCAAGTTTCAGCTTCTCATTACTTCTGGGACATAGAAATAGCGTCAGTCGCTCACCATCGTCTACCGGGTGTTGCACATACAGTAGATAGCCCCCTCCCCAGTGGCGTGGGGGGGGGGTTAGGGAGTTAGAACCCCCCTTGGGCTTCCCGGTTAGTGACACTGACAGGCATATTTCAACCTTCCTTGGGAATTACAATTTTAGCTATGGCCCTTCGAGGAAAGTCTTATGTCCGTCCACAGACCCAAGATGCCAGACCATGATTGCCTTGAAAAAGTAAATTCCGGGTAGTGGGGCTAGGCGTAGGGTTAGGGTGTCTACCTAGCCTCAACACCCCCTTTGCCGATTTCCTGCCTACGCCACTGCCGCTCCCTCCACAGCCTATAGGAGCTAGGAAAAAAACTCGTATATCATAAGAAAGAGCATCATGAGCTCGTAACTTAATATCACGGATGGGATCAATAAATTTAAATCCTCCATCATTTGACATCAATAAAAAAACAAAATGGTATGGAATAGATTCTAAATTGAACAAGGATTCCAGATATATTAAAACATATTTTCCTAGCTCCTATAGTTTAGGCTGGGAGGGGGGGAGGGCGCTATGTGCAACACCTGGTATATCCTCGTATATTAGATGTGTAAAATGTCCTATATATCATACATACCTGTCACCGCGGGAAAATCTGTATCGTAAATGTGAACACTAGTGGGTAGGGGAGGTATGGAAGGGCTGCTGACTTAAATTGTGATTTCCCGAAAATGCTATACGCTTAGCCTAATGCCTATGCCAGAAACGTCCAATACGACTAAGTTGGGGGCCGGATAAAGCCCTTCAAGGGAGGTCGGGTTCAGAACAGAAAATCTTACACCAGACTTCAATTGCGAACAGGTTGAATATATCTGCGCTTTTCAAGAAAACCAACTGTTTAAGAGTAATTCTCGAGCCGCCAGTTTGACAACCCTGCTGTATAAAATGCTTAAGCGTACTGTATGTCAGCACCCGATCTGCGCATGCGCAGCATCTTCCTACGCCTTACCTAATTGCGAGTGTACTTTTATCGCTCTCAAGCTCGCACTTCCTTTCCAGTCATCGCAGCATTCGGATCCTCAGTACGGGAGAGCCTGAGTGGCGTGGGCTTGTAACCTAGGCTCTTCTTACCTAGATTTAACTGAGTGCGGGAAAATTTTTAACACCAAAATATTGTAAAGCAAGAAATCGAAGTCCTCCAAAGATCATTTTTATTCATTAATGATCGTGACAGTATTTTCGATTTCCTTCGGCCACGTTCCGCTGGCACCTGTAGCCGTCCTGAGTGAAACCTTGGCAGCGTGGAGTCACCCCGAGCTTGTTCGCTTGGAAGTCGTAGGCGGTGAGGGTGCCCTTTTCCCTATTGCAGGGTTTGCATGCAGCAACTGCATTGCTTAGGTCGTTGGTGCACCCGGGCCTGCAGAAAAGTCCCAGAGGAATACAATACGATTCGGAAATACTGTATATATGTTGGTTTCAATATCGTTGGTTCAGCGGTATAAATTAACCCATTTCCAAAAAATGGGGTTTAGAGGAGAGCCGTGTTTAAAATCTGTTCGAAAGCCCGATCGAGAAACCCGTTTTTGGCTGCAACATGATCTCATGGACTCACCTCATCTTATTAACAACGTGGTCTATCTCCGTGTTGTTCTTGTTTAGCCTCGTGCCGTCATAAAAACACTCCCCTCTTGAAGCTCTAACCGCCTCTGCCTTCGTCTTGGACGAGAAGTTCTTGCTTGCCATTTTTCTCCTCTGCACAGTATTACAGTTGGGTTGCTTTCAGGAGGAACTGAATCACTCAGGCTGTGAGGACTCGTAGGCGTTGGCATGGAAGTTGACGGAAGTGTATCTTATCGTGACTCCAGGTGTATGCTCTTATTTGTTGAAGGAGTCATTTGCCCTTCAATGATGTGGTTCCTAAGCCGAGCTGAGAG